ATTTACGATTTTATTTATTTTTTGCAAGACTTCCAGCAGATAGAAGGCAAGGAGACATGGAGATAAAAAGGCCTTGCAAGCAGCGTTTGTCAGATTTAGGCTGTTAAGTAATGTGGCACACAATGCTCATCATTTTGATGTTTTACTTCGATTTTACATCATGCTCTTGTGTCTCTTTGATCTGACATGCTGCAGAAACACAGTGTTTCGTCATGGTTGTCTGTTTGTTTCAGCAGCCCTTGACTCAATAAAACATCTCTGAAGTCTATTAGTGGGCCTTAGTTTAGGTCCCTTGCATTAGTTTCTTCTGGCCTTCCATGAAGATAGACAATTTAGTAAACAAAAATGAACAAAAATGGAAGAAGATAAAGCAGATTCTCCTGGACTCTGCAGTTAGGCAGACTTAAATTTGACTCCCAGCAACTCTTTTGGGGACGTTTGTTACCTCTTAAGGTGACCTTGAGGACATCTCCTGCCTTACCAGGCTGTAGTGAGGATTAAATGAAAAAGAGATATGAAAGACCTAAGCATTGTGTAGTAAGCAATGTGTGTGGTCTCTTTCTTGAATGGACTTTGAAGCAATTGCCAAGTCACATAGGCCACATTGTGTGATGTGGTGATAATCTGGGACCTTTATGTTGCAGAGAGTCAGCAGGGCAGCTTAAAATTATGGTTCCCTCCTCAGAAACTCTGATGCAGCAGATCAGGCTTGGATCACAGGAATCTTCATTTTTAACAACTGTGGAAAATAATTCTGATGAAAGTAGGATCTTTCAAATCCCAAGACTTTTTTGGGATTTAAAAGAAATTCAACCATTTGACCCTGAAACTTAAATAACTTGGATGGGTGAGTTTTCTTGGTTCATCTTTTAACAGTAATCATTATGGGGATCTAAACATTGTCCACAAAATTCTACTTGAGAAAAATTATTCAAGAATACCTATGTCTGCTTAGGTAAATATACTAATTTGTAAAAATATGTACATCACTTATTATAAGTACTGTGTTAGTCTGATCTCATGTTGCTATGAAGAAATACCCGAGACTGAACTGAGTGATTTATAAAGAAAAGAGATTTAATTGACTCACAGTTCTGCATGGCTAGGGAGGCCTCAGGAAACTTACAATCATGGCGGAAGGCACCTCTTCACAGGGCAGCGGGAGGGGAAATGAGTGCCAGCAGGGGAAATGCCAGACGCTTATGAAACCATCAGATCTTGTGAGAACTCACTCCCTATCATGAGAATACTGTGGGGGAAACCACCCCCATGATTCACTTACCTCCACCCAGGTACTTCCCACGACACATGGAGATTACAATTGGGATTACAATTCAAGATGACATTTTGAGTGGGGACACAACCAAACCATATCAAATACCTTACCAAAAGTGAGCTTAATACGTGAAATAAGTGAAAGTAGAAGGAAATCCATTAAAAGGAACATATCAATCTTTATAGTTAATAATTTTGGGTATTTCTTTACCAAAGGAAATAAGTATTTTGAGACCAGACCTATCACACAAAAACCATTCTGCATCATCTCCCCTGTAATTCAATCTGGATGCAATTAATGAGAGTGCTCTGGCTAATCTTGATTGTCATGATGGTATGAGGAGATGTGATATATAAGGTATTCAAACCATGTGGGGTATATTATTAAGAATCATTGTTAAGTAAGAGGGTAAAGTGAAACAGAATGAAATAAGTCAGGCATCCAGATTTGGTATTTCCTGTTGTTAGTGCTAGAATTTTTACTTTTTATGTTAAAAATGCAACATACTTAATTTTTCCTCTGATACTTACACAATGTAATTTATATATACATATATATCCACATGCATGCACATACACATACATTGAGCCATATTTGATGACCAAAAAGGGAGAGGCCCCAAGGGCTCTTTGGTGTGCAATTAATATTTTGGCCAGAAAATCAGCAGATTGTTTCAGTATGGTTATGTGTTATGACATCATATTCCAGTAAAGTTATAATGAACAGAAATTTTGTTTGTCTCTGTGGCAAACCAAAATGAGTTTTGTAATTGTCAGCAGGCCTTAGTGATTATAGTGGCGCCCACTCCCTCTACTGTAGTTAAAGGTCTGTTAGCATTTCAGTTGTGGACCTTCTATTTTCAGAAGTTTATAATTAATTGTAAACATTTGCTCTATGGTGAAAGTTTGCCATATAAGATCTCAGTTCAGGAGTAAATTTCTGATTTCAAATGATCTGTTTTAAAGTTTTATAGTAGCACCAGTTAAAAATAAACAAAGTTCTGTGGAGGTGGGAAAACTGAATTTTGTGAAATACAAAGTGAAGATCACCAGCGTTATTCATATTAGTCTGTCAGATTTTTGCATTAAAGGGATTAAAATAAAATAGATGATAGGAAATTGTGTACTCCAGTACACAATATTTAATTATTGTAACCAAAAAGCAAATAATATTGTAGTTTTTAATGCTTTTTAATCTTTGTTTATAATAATGCATTTGAAATGCTTTAAGTTAATAGAAAACTAGTTCAAGAAAATTGATTTTAAGTTAAGCGTTTAAAACAGCAACTTTTTCTTTTTTTCATACTCTGAATTCCTGTCCTTCATTTGGCACTGTTAATTACTCCTGTCCCTGACATTGTGTTGTAATTTTTTTTCTAACTTTGACCCTTTTTCATCTCTTTCACTGCTGTCTATTGTTTCCCTTGCACTTTGATCATAGGCATTAATCAGTTCCTAGCCTTAGGCTCTTTTTTGATTCCTTTACACTTACCCTTTCCAGGTGCTTATCCACTTGCATGGTTTCAATTATTGCCTCACAAATCTGCATCTTCAGTACCAATCAGCATTTCTAGTTCTTCACCTTCAGTAAACCTTCATTGATTAGTCCCATCTGCCTGGTGAATTCTTACGTGATGGGCTCTTTCCAGTTTATCTCAGGTTGAACATAGAGCGTCACTACTTGGATGTGCAGTAATTATCTAAAATATAGTAGGACCTCAATTGGACTTCTTTTTGCTTGGAAGAAAACATTTTTAAGGACTGGAGTGATTTTTAACTCATTTTTTTCAGCATTGCAATTGTAAATCCACCATTCCATCAAAATCGATTCTGTTTATTTTGCTAAGTTGCTCAATTCAATGGTCATATTTCTCAGTCATCATTTTACTTGACCTGTTAGTAGCATTAGATAGAATTAATCCCTCCCTTCTCCTTGATAGACTTTTTTCCCATTTGGCTTTCAGGAAGGACATTGTGCTTGCTTGCCTTTTCTCCTATCACACCCTCCCACAGAGTTCTCATTGTTTTATGCCTTTAAATACTGCCTGTATATTGATGATTCCCAAATTTTATCTCTACCTTGGACCTCTTTGCTGAAGTCCAGACTAATAAATTGAGTTGTTCACTTGACATCTATACTACTTGGATGTCTAATAGGTCTAATAATCGAACATCTCCAAAACAGAGCTGTTGAAATCCACCCCCAGCAAACCCATTTCTTTTTTCAGTCTTCACTGTCTCAATAGATGGGTACTCCGTTTTCCAGTTGTTTAGTTCCAAAACCGTGATGTCATCCCTGACTCCCCTCTCATGTTCCATAGCCAGTCTTTGGGTAAACCCGTCATCTCTACTTCCAAAATTCATCTAGAAACAATGACTTCTCATTACTTCCATTGCTACACCCTAGTTCAGGCCACTGTCACTTTTCCCCTGGATTATCCCAGTAGCCTATTAGATATCCTTGCTTCCAGCATTGTTCCCCTACAGTGTGTCCTCAAAATAGTAATCAGATGGTTATTTCAAGAGATAAATCAGATTATGTCACTTCTCTGTGCAAAACCTTCCAGTGGCTGATCATTTCACTTGGGGTAAAAGATGCTTACAGCAATTTGTAGGGAAGGCCCTGTGGAATCTTGCCACCTCTACTCGTCTAGCTTTTCCTCTCTCCCTAAACTTTTGCCAGACAGGCCTCCTCCGAGTTACTTGAACATGCATGGCACACTCCTGCCTCGCTGCTCTTGCTGCTGGTATACTCTCTGCTTCAGATGCACTGTTCCAGATATCTGCATGGCTTGTTCCCTAACTTGTTTCAGGTCTTTACACAATTGATATTTTCTCAATGGAACGTCTCTTGGCCACCCTATCTAAAACCTACCTCCCTGACACTTCTGACCCTTTCCTCTTTACCTTTTCTTACATCTGTCTCTAACATACTAGGTATTCTACATATTTTTCTTATTGTTTATCTTCCCTACTCTAAGTGTTGTTCATTGTCATAGTCCCCTGTCATATAGAAGACACACCATAAATAATTGTTGAATTAATGGATTTTATCACATCTCTTAATTTTTTCTCCTTAATTTCTTTTGGTTTTTTTTTGTTTCTTCTTACAGCCTCAATTATCTCTTCATATCTGCATTATTGCAGCTTTTTAGTCACATGTCATCAGCCTCATTACCTCAGTCACCATAAAATGTATGAATATAACACTTCCTGCTCAAGAATTGGCCTAAACTCCTTATTCCTGTGCTGAATCTGCTCTCCTTATTACTTTGCATTGTACTCAGTCCATTTCTCTGCTCCTGTATTTCTAATCATAATTATCTTCTGCAAAAAGCACAGTAATCTACATGTTGTCGCCTGAACAGTCTTGCCTGACCCAGCCTCTGTTGTAGCTTCACCAGACTGTTCACTTACTTCTGTCAAAATCTGACCAAAAACTTCTCACCAGGAAGTCTCCTGTGATAGAATTAAATAATTTTTACTGTATTATTTTATGTTTAATGTTGTATTCTATATATGTTTTTCATGGAGATCAATATAAGCTATTATCTGTAGATGTATTGACTCACATTTTATCAAAAAATATATTTTTGAGGTTAAAATTTTTTTTAAGAGTATAGCACATTATATAATTGGTATCATTTTAAACAAAATAAATCTTATGAATGATTATAGAGTGGTTTTATTAAGCTAACTTTATTGTTTTTATTTTCTTATTTTAGGTATCATTGCCCAGTGCCTAAGATCTTTTATGTTCAGCTCACTGTAGGAAATAATGAATTTTTTGGAGAAGGAAAGACTCGACAAGCTGCTAGACACAATGCTGCAATGAAAGCCCTCCAAGCACTGCAGAATGAACCTATTCCAGAAAGATCACCTCAGGTGTGGTGCTGGTGCATGTGACAGTCTCTTCTTTCTACTTTCCCAGTGAAACAAATCAGTGAATTTTATAATTAAAACAAATAATCTGTTCTGTTAGGGAAGAATACTAGAGTGAAGACCTGCTAAGATTTACATCTCAGACTGTCTACTGTACTTGCTTCATGTGTTCCTGCAGGATGACTATACCTTTCAGAACTTTGGTTCTTCCCTTGAGTTCGCTTCACAGGCATCTGGGGATTTGGGGATGTATATGAGGATGAGAAATAACATTGATTTGGCTTATATTTCATACTATGTTTATTGAATATAGATTACATTGTGTGAATATAGAATCAGGGATTTAAAGTGGAAGAGATTTTATAGATTTTTTCAGTCCTCCTTTGTTTTACAAATAAGGACATTGAGTCTGTTCTTGAGTAATCTCACTCATTCTCCTGGCTTCAGCTACTTTCTCGACTGACTTCAAAATAGTATCTGTAGCTCAGGCATGTCCTATACATAGCATAGTGAGCTTCTTTTTTTGTTGTTGTTGTTGAAATGGAGCCTCGCTCTGTCGCTCAGGCTGGAATGCAGTGATGGGATCTGGGCTCACTGCAACCTCTGCCTCCCAGGTTCAAGCGATTCTCCTTCCTCAGCCTCCTAAGTAGCTGGGACTATAGGCACATGCCACCACGCCTGGCTAATTTTTTGTATTTTTAGTAGAGACGGGATTTCACTGTGTTGGCCAGGATGTTCTCGATCTCCTGAGCTCGTGATCCACCCTCCTTGGCCTCCCAAAGTGCTGGGATTACAGGTGTGAGCCACCGCGCTCGGCAGCATAGTGAGCTTCTTACTTACCCTACAGTTCAAACTCTACAGTTTTCCTTTCCCCAAACCAATTGTTTCTTTCTCCTTTGATATTTATCTTAATGGCAGACTTAGGTGTTTTTCTGCTTGTACTCTTTCATGAGAGCTCCTATTTCTTGATCTGTTTTCCCATGAGATCATACACTTCTTGACAGCAGGAATACTGTCTCTTTCTCTCTAATAGTTATAGTGGGTTCAGCATATATGAGGCCTTAAGAAGTATGTGTTAAATAAGTGAATAAAGAAACCGAGGCCTGTGCCAGACATAGATCTCCAACTAGGATGCTCCTGGTTTGCATCCTGTACTCTTTCTGTAACTTCATCCTCATAGATCACATTAGAACACCAGTGGCGGGGGAATTCCTGGGTGTTGGGGATTGGGTGGGTAGAGAACTCTAAAACAAGAGAGCCAGGTCTAGGGATGTAGGCTAAACTCAAATTAGTGTATAGTTGAGTAAAAGATTTCCAGTCTGCATTAAATACTTTTCCTTCAAGGAAAACAAACTAAAAGCCAAGTAACAAAAAGCCTGGCAGCAAAGCCCTTGACTGCTGTGGTTACAGGACAATGCAGCAGATACAGTCTATAGTTTGTTATTTCTTCTTGTAATTTAAATAGGCCATCTTGACTGTAGAATAAAAGTAAAGTTTGTTATAATGTCACGATTCAGTGTTATCCTATTTTTTGTGATTTAGAATGGTGAATCAGGAAAGGATATGGATGATGACAAAGATGCAAATAAGTCTGAGATCAGCTTAGTGTTTGAAATTGCTCTGAAGCGAAATATGCCTGTCAGTTTTGAGGTATGTACTCGGTAGAGATCTTCCCATTTTTTCCCTTGCTCTGGTTATTTTAAACAAACAAACAAACAAACAAACAAATAAAATTAACTGGTATACTAGTATCCTGCAAGAGTTAATATGCTTCTGTATGTTCAAACCCAGTATTACAAAATGATCTAAGCCCTGGTGAGAATAGAAATCATGATGATAACACAGATTCCTTCTGATTTTTTTATTTTCTGTATTAAGCCTTTTGTATACATGATATTTCAATTTTTATAAAAGCTATTTTCTGGGTGTAGATAATTTGTGGTATCCTATAGGATTTGGTATTTTAAATAGGATTAAATTAAATTTATTCAAGTTAAGATTTAGTGACACATATGTTAATATCCCATTTTTTTTCAATTGTGTGGAGGCCAAAATATGTTTAACATTAACCTCAACTAACAAAATCACCAAGAAGATGTAATGAAGCAACTCTTGATTTTACAGCTAGATAAATATATCGCAAATATATTCATAAAATTGAAGAAAACTTAAAAAAATAATTATCATAATACTTCCCTTATTAAGAGGTCACTAATTTTACAACTCATGTCTGGAAAGTAGGCAAGAACCAGGAAATAAGCTGAAAGAGTTGTGGATAATCTTCCCTCACATTGTATGACATTCACCTACTAGAAAGCTCCCACATCTTACTCGTTGGCAGGATCATTTGAGTTGGACTGAGAAACTGTTAGCTTTCTTTTATACACATTCTGACAAGTTGCATTATCTCAGTTCTCAGTCCACAGCATGTTAAAAGCAGCAAAATGAGGAAATCAGGGAGAGAATGTACTTGAGAGCCTATTGGTCCAGCAAGAAATAATACGGAAAATTTGGAAAACCTATAAAAAGTAATTGCTTATACTGAAAAATTATTGGGATTTTTTTTTAAAGGCTGCAGTGACTACAAATAGACAGTTTTGTTATTCTTAGATGTTCTTGGGAACATCAATATATTATGGTATAGGATATCTGATGTTTATAATGATCTAATGTGAACAATTAAAGGTTAAATATTTAGTATTCTCTATTAAGTCAGTAAAATAAATATATATATATATTTTTTTTAATTGAGAAGAATGTCCATCAAAGTGGTTAAAATAAACAGTTTTGGTGTTTCAACTAGTAAACCTAAATTACTTGGAAACTATGCTTATGATAAATTCCTTATCCGTAATAATGTCACCTTATTGAGATATTGCGGTGCTTTCATTCCTTTTCCTAATTAGTATCCAATATTAGAAGACAGAATTTCAGTGTAATGTTAAATAGTAAACTGCTTGAATAGGGCATCTTGTATAGGTCAGAATTTTGAAGGAGACTAAAGTTTTGAGTCCTCAGGATTTGGAAGACGTATTTCCTCCAAAAGCTGGCATAGTGTAAAAGTGAGAGCAGATTAAGCAAGGTTTAGTAACATTACATTCATAGTTGACAAATCCATAACTCATTGCTCTAGAAAGCTAGGATTTTTTTTGGCATACCTACTTACCTTTTTCAAATCATGCCACAAGAATAAATTTCCCTTTCTATAAAACAGCCTTTGACATCCCTATCAAAAACAGCTTACTTTTCATCCATCACCTGTTTTTGAGAGGCTTCCACAGGCACGGTGCCTTGTGGTTTATAGAACTACATGTTTCTCCAGTAATTTACTCATACATAGGAGAAAGTTAGATATATGTAATTATATACAAATTATCATTATAGATGGCCTAATATGGTATCTAATCTAATGGTATTTTTGATGTTCTTAAATTTGTGCTCCATAAGACATGGAGAAACTGTAATTAGAATTATCTGTTTTAAACTAATAAAAAATCATTTTGACTGTGAATCAAATGTGTCTATTTAGATTTCTTTTGTTTCAACTGCATTAAGCATCAAGTGTCATAAATAGTCCCAATATAATACCTTCATAATATCTTTCTTAAAGAAATACTATAATTTTGGCATAATACTAATTTTGGTTTTGATATGAATATTAAGTCATACTATAAGAATACATCTTAAGTGCCTATCCATTGTTTAATATTTTACTTGTATTTAATAGGTTATTAAAGAAAGTGGACCACCACATATGAAAAGCTTTGTTACTCGAGTGTCAGTAGGAGAGTTCTCTGCAGAAGGAGAAGGAAATAGCAAAAAACTCTCCAAGAAGCGTGCTGCGACCACCGTCTTACAGGAGCTTAAAAAACTTCCACCTCTTCCTGTGGTGGAAAAGCCAAAACTATTTTTTAAAAAACGCCCTAAAACAATAGTAAAGGTAAGTTTATGTTTGTGAACATCAGTCAGTTTTACTAAGTAAATATTATAGTAGCTATAGATAAGCATTTTTCTATAAGGCAAGTCCCTGAACTTATGGATTATATACAGTCCTGAAATCAGGGCAGGACATGTGACTATAAATTAATGACAGTTCTGTTTTGCTTTTTAAATACTTGTGCACCTGCATTTGTTCATCAAATAATCATAATCTTAGGTATTTATATTTTTTTTGTTGTTTAAAAAGTGCTTTCCCCTTCATGTCACCTTTACTGTAACTCCTCATGACTGTGTAAGGTGGATGATGTTAGCCCTCATTTTACAAATAAGATTTTACAAAATATGTTCAAAGAGTTTGCCCATTTTTATTCAACAATCATGTCGAACCACCTGAACTGCTGTCTAATCCAGTGTTCTTTCTGCATACAAGGCTGTTACATAGTAACTTCTTAGGGTATCATGAAATGGTAACAGGATACACAAAAAAATCATACGACTAATACTAACAATAATAGCTGCAGCAGCTGGAAATCATAAAGCACTCCATGTGCCAGACTTTGTCCCAACACTTTGCATGCTTTAATCACATTTCATCCACATAGTAACCTTATGAAGTAGATGGTCTTATTTTGTTGCCATTCATTCAGATGTGTATACCTTGGGAAAGAAGAATATAGAGCATACAGCTTTTCGAGATGTGACTCTTTTATTGGGTCAGAATTTATTACATTAATAAGAGAAAAAAGGTAAATATGAGAGGAATGAGATGAATCAGCATTTAGTACAGGACAGTGCCTGTGAATGCTTGACACGTATGACATATCTGGAGCTAGAGTTTTGTGTTTCCAGAGAAAGCCTTAAATTGCCAGCATTTCAGTTGCTGGCTCAGCCTCACTGATTTAGCAGCCTTCTTCTGATTAGGCCGTACAAATGAAGGATTACAGATAAGAAATGTATTTAATCTCAACGGATTTCTTTTGTTTTTTGATTGCACAGTGGCACAATTTAGGTATTTTTACAGGTTTTATACCTTTGTACCTTTGTTTTATTTAAAAATACATACATACATATATACAAAAATAACTACTTAAATACTTGTTTTTAATGAATGCTGACATTACTTCACTTAGAAGAAGATGTAGTAGGTAATGCATTCCGTGAACTGGAATTACATGTTATATGTAAGGTAGACTAAAAATAAATGCAAATAGCTCTACTTATCATGAGTCATAGTGGTTTCAAAGAGGACTGGCACTTTCATTCATGTGCTCCTCCTACACAGTCAGGAGTAGAATATAGCTATTAAGAGAATGACCTTTGGAGTTAATTTTGAGTATGAATCCCTGTGGCCTGAGCAAGTTACCTAACTTTAAAAATATTTCTTCATTTATAAAGTGGGAGTAGTAATTGACCTTGCTGTATGGGATTGTTATAAGTATTAACTGAAACAGTGCACAAAATGCATTAGTAATTATTAAGTATTCATTGTTACTAATGACAATGCAAATACTGTAATAAATAGCACATATTAACTATTGGTATTTTGTATCTGATACTGCCTATTCACGTTTTATATTTATGTGAATGTATCCATGAACTGTTTTCTTAAATCTATTAATATATAAAATCTATGGCTTTTCTAAGATGGAAGAACAGCATTTTATGTTGGAATGGTGGCACAAAACTGGTCACATAACTTCCGTCTAATCTATTTAACTAAGTTTTATCTTGATAAATTAAGAATAATAAACCAGGCTGGGCGCGGTGGCTCACGCCTGTAATCCCAGCACTTTGGGAGGCTGAGGCGGGTGGATCATTTGAGACCAGGAGTTCGAGACCAGCATGGCTATCATGGCGAAACTTGGTCTCTACTAAAAATACAAAAATTAGCCGGGTGTGGTGGCAAGCGTCTGTAATCCCAGCTACAGCTCAGGAGGCTGAGGCATGAGAATCGCTTGAACCTAGGAGGCAGAGGTTGAGGTGAACCAAGATCACTGCCTCTGCACTCCAGCCTGGGTGACAGAATGAGATTCCATCTCAAAATGATAATAATAATAATAATAAATTGTTAGGCTAGAAAAGATCTGTACATTTCTATAGTAGGATATAAATCTAACTCTTGTTTTAACTATAGCTATTAAAAGCAAGATTATTATTTAAATGTTATTCCCCAGAGGTGGGAGACAGGAGAAACATTTTGAATTCTCAATTACTTGCTACTGCTTCCAGTATATAAGCAATATTATCCCAGAACTTCCCTCCCATGCATCATTCAGATCTCAGCATAAACTTGACTTTTTTAGGGACTCCTCTGGTCCTCTCCTACTCCCAGACTAGGTTAGCCTCCTGCATTTTTCCTCATATACATCACACTTGGAGTTACTTTTGCCATGTCTGTCTTATGTTAAAATAAAGCTTGTAGATACTCTGTGAAATGTAAGATTATTTTGAGAGAACAATGTGTATAATGAGTTGGAATCTAGATAATTTTATGTTCATACCTTATAATATGTCAGCTGGAATAGTATCCTGATTTTCAGCATTTTCCTCACTTCCTTGTATGGCTTATACATTGAGGGTCTATAGTTTCTTACACTCAATGGAAGCAGAGAAAATATCTGATCATTTGCCTTGGTTTTATTTAAAGGAATAAAACAATCACATTGTCTCATTTGATCCTCTTAATCACTCTGTGATGCAGCATTCATTTCCATCTTACAGATTAGGCCCTTTATATTTAAGAAACCTATCCAAGGTCCTGCAGCAGAGTCAGCTTTCAGATCCAGTTGTCACATCTGACTGCAGTGCCCATTTGATACTGGTTAATTGTGAACTTCTGGATTTTCAGATTCACTGTATAGGGTTATCCTGTTAACATGTAAAACTGCCTTGATAATGTCTTTGTGTTTACATTCTGTTTTTAAATGTAGTTCTCCTCTATAAGACAAGACTTCAAAGAGCGCTTTCTAATCTTAGAGATCAAGTGTTCTGGACACAGTTATTACAACACTGTCTTTATTGGTATATAGAATGATGATTTAAGATTTGCTGTCCAAGGAATAACTTAATTGTCAAAGGTGCTGGTAATTCATTTCAGTCAGAGCAAGAAACCAAGTAATCCCCTCCCCCACCCCCACCTTTTTTTTTTTGAGACAGGGTCTCACTCTGTCTCCCAAGCTGCAGTGTAGTGGCACCATGATCTCGGCTGGCTGCAATCTCTGCCTCCTGGGTTCAAACGATTCTCCCATGTCATACTCCAGAGTAGCTGGGACTAGGCATATGCCACCATACCTAGCTAATTTTGGTATTTTTTGGTAGAGATGGGGTTTTACTATGTTGGCCAGGCTGGTCTTGAACTCCTGAGCTAAAGTGATCTGCTTGCCTTGGCCAACCAGAGTTTTTTTTTTTTTTTCTTTGAAACAAGGTCTCACCCCTGTTGCCCAGTATGGAGTGCAATGGTAGGATCTCAGCTCACTGCAGCCTTGATTTTCTGGTCTCAGGTGATCCTCCCACCTCAGCCTCCCAAGTAGCTGTCACTACAGGCACAACACCACCAAGCGCAGCTAATTTTTTGTATTTTTTTGTAGAGACAGGGTTTTGCCATGTTGTACAGGCAGGTCGCAAACTCCTGGGCTCAAGTGATCTGCCTACCTCGGCCTCCCAAAGTGCTGTGATTACAGGCGTGAACCACTGCACCCAGCCCCAAGCAATTCTTAATGTACACTGAACTCCATCATTATCTAAATTAGATTTATGTATCTGATTCTTTTCATTGCAATCTATATCAACAATAATTTCCTTGGAACTCAGAGACATTCTTTGAGTCAAATTAAACAGAAATAAAGACAGTATACCACTGGAAACACATTCCTATTTATTTAACATCTTCATGAACTGGGCATACTACTTCTAGCACTAGACTCAGAGCTTCTCTTTATCTTTTCATTGGGATCTCAATCTTAGACTTATGAATTATTATGTGGATTTGTCTTTTCTCATCAGTCCTTCTTGATTCCCCTTATAATTAATTTAATTTATTTTTTTAAATTGAAACGGGGTCTCGCTCTGTTGCCAGGCTGGAGTGTAATGGCACGATCTTGGCTCACTGCAACTTCCGCCTCCCGGGTTCAATCCATTCTCCTGCCTTAACCTTCCGAGTAGCTGGGATTACAGGCACATAACCACGCTCAGCTAATTTTTTTTTGTATTTTTAGTAGAGACAGTGTTTAACCATGTTGGCAAGGCTGGTCTTGATCTCCTGACCTCATGTTCCACCCGCCTCGGCCTCCCAAGGTGCTGGGATTACAGGCATGAGCCACCACACCCGGCCCTTTATTTAATTTTTATTTTTCAGGATATAAGTAGAAGTTGAAACCAGTGTTTTATCAAAAGCTAAAGGTTTCTTTTGCTCTTTCCTTTCCCTTCATCTAACCATTGCAACAGTGAAGTTCTCAGTCTTTTTCCTCCTCTTTCCCTAAGCTGTTCTTCTACTTCTAGGTGTTCAATTTCATCTTTAAATAGGTGATTCCCGAATACCATATGCTCTGCACTACCTCTTAGACATCTCCACTTACTGTTTCACGAGTGCCTCAAATTTGGGCCCGAATTCATCATGTTCCCTTCTAAACCTCTTTCTCCTGCAGCGTTCTTTATCTCAGTGACTGGCACTAACATCTAGCTGCTGAAACTACTGGGGGTCATTTTTAACTTCTCTTTTTTTTTTTTTGAAGATGGAGTTTTGGTCTTGTTGCCCAGGCTGGTGTGCAGTGGCGCTGTCTGGGCTCACTGCAACCTCTGCCTCCTGGGTTCAAGCGATTCTCATGTCTCAGCTGGGATTACAGGTGCCTGCCACCACGCCCGGCTAATTTTTGTATTTTTAGTAGAGACACCATGTTGGCCAGGCTGGTCTTGAACTCCTGACCTTGTGATCCACCCACCTTGGCCTCCCAAAGTGCTGGGATTACAGGCATGAGCCACTGCACCCGGCGTTTAACTTCTCTCTTACCCCTTATGTCCAATCACTTATTAAGTCCTATTTATTCTGTCACCTAATATTTCTTTTTTTTCTTTTTTCTTTTTTTTTTTTTAATGAAATGAGTCTCGCTCTGTCGCCCAAGCTGGAGTGCAGTGGCGTGATCTCGGCCTCCTGGGTTCAAGTGATTCTCCTGCCTTCCTCAACCTCCTGAGTAGCTGGGATTACAGGCATGGGCCACCACACCTGGCTATTTTTGTATTTTTAGGAGAGACGGGGTTTCACCATGTTGGTCAGGCTGGTCTCAAACTCGTGATGCTGTGATCCGCCCCGCCTTGGCCTCTCAAAGTGCTGGGATTACAGGAGTGAGCCACTGTGCTTGGCCTCATCACCTAATATTTTTTAAGTTGGTTCCTTTCTTTCCATCCCTTCTATCACTCTTTGGTCCAACTCACAGTCATCTCTTAACTTAAACTACTACAGTTAAGGTTTTAACTGGCTACAAGTACTCTTGACACCAAATGATCATTTAAAAAGTATGATCTTTTAGAGGCACTTGTCTAATCATATCATACCTCTGCTTAAAATCTTTCAGTAATTTTCTTACTCTTTGGATAAAGTCCAAAATCCTAAACTTAGTTTGAAAGACCATGAGAGATCTGCCTGGAGGCTGTACCTGGAGCACCATACTAGAAATTGTCTGGACGAAATGGCAGCAATCATCTGGAAGAGCTAAGACTGCACAGTGGCTTTTAGATAAGTTTAGTGTAACATGTAATCTGTAATAGAGTGATTATCCATGTCTCTACAGACAGTAGAGACAAGAATAAAGTTTCATAGGTGGAAGTAAAGTTTTGACCATATAATAGATGCAAACTTATTTCTAGGAAAAATACATGAGGAAAGTTCATATGCAGAAAGATCATTTGGTTTCCAAGAATTTTTGCTTTTATGTTATAATACATGCAAAAAGCTGTGTATAAACTTGTGTATAAGTAAAAAAGCATACTAAGTAAGTGTGAGAAAGACCTACTGCTCAACTTGAGTATAAAACATTACTCAATAAGCTTTGAAGCTCTCTGTGTGCTCCTCTTCCATCACATCCTCATGCAATCTTCCCTAGGCAACCTCTATCATTAGTTTGTATGACCATTTCCTACCTTACAGTTCTACTGTGTTTGTTTTTCTAAAAAATGTTATTTGTTTAGTTCCTTTAAACAACTTTATTGAGGTATAATTGACATAGAATGAGTTGTACATGTTTAAAGTGCACTGTTTGTTTTCATATTTGTTTGCATGTGTACAACCATGACCACAGTCAAGATAGTGAACCTATCCATTCCTCCCAGAATTTTCCTCATGTCCCTTTGTAATCTTCCACCTTCATTTGCTAAGAAACCACTCTTTTTTTGTCTGGCTTCTTTAACCCAGCATAATTATTTTGAGATTCATCCTTATTATTGCATGCATGAATTGGTGGTTCTGTTTTTTTGCAGGTAATATTTCATTGAATTGATATACCACCACTTGTTTATCCATTCGCCTGTCAGTGGATATTTGATATTTGGGCTGTTTCTAATTTTTGGTTGTTACTCAAAAAGCAGCTATGAACGTTTGTGTATATATCTTAAGAGCATATGCTTTCATTTCTCTTGGATAAATCCTTCAAAGTGGAATGGTTTGGTCATTTAGTAGGTATATAGTCAACTTTAGTTTTTCAAAGTTGTGGCAGCTTTGCTCTTTTACATTCTCATCAGCAGTGTGTGAGAACTCCAGTTGTTTCACATCCTTGCTAACACCTAGCATAGTCAGTTTTTAAAATTTCAGATGTTCACATACATGGGTATTGATACCTCATTTTGGTTTTAATTTACATTTCCTCTGTAATGGAAATTGATGATATTGAGAATTTTTTATGTGTTTACTGTCACATGAGGCCTGATGAAGTGTTTATTTAAATTTTTTACCAGCTTAACAAATTTTAATGCTTATTTCAAATAATAAATTTATTATTGAATTTTTAGAGGTCTTTATACACTCTGGATACAGGTGCTTTATCACATATGTAGTTTGCAGATATTTTCTTCAAGCCTGTGACTTGTCTTTTTCAAAGAGCAGAAGTTATTAATTTTGAAGATTTATTATATTTAATTTATGTTATTATTTATATTTTTGTTTTGTTTTATTATTATTAGTTTTTTACATGGAACGTGATTTTGGTGTTATATCTAAGAATTGTTACCTAACCAAGTTACAAAAATTTTTCTTCTGGAAGTCTTATAGTTTTAGAAATTACATTTGCATCTGTGAGACATTTTGAGTTAATTATTTTTATAAATGGTATGAGGTTTGGCTTGAAGATTTTTTTTTTTCCTTTTTCTTTTTACATATGAATAGCCAATTGTCCCAACATTATTGGCTGAAAAGACTACCCCGCTGAATTCTTTTTGTACCTTTTTTGAAAATCATGTGACCGTGTGTGTGTGTATCTGTATCTGGGCACGTATTCTGTTTCATTGGTCCCTTTGTCTGTCTTTATACCAATACTACATGCACTACCTTGAATGCCATAGTTTTATAATCTTGAAATTAGGTAGTCTGAGTCTTTTTTTTTCCCGCAAAGTTTTGGTTCTTTGTCTTTTGCATTTCCATATGAATTTTAGTGTTAGTTTACACATTAAATTTTAAAAAGCCAACTGGGGGCCAGGTGCGGTGACTCATGCCCATAATCTGAACACTTTGGGAGGCCGAGGTGGAAGGATCACTTGAGGTCAGGAGTTTGAGACCAGCCTGTCCAACATGGTGAAACCCTGTCTCTACTAAAAATACAAAGACTAACCATCCTTGGTGGCATGCACCTGTAGTCCCAGCTACTTGGGAGGCTGAGGCAGGAGAATCGCTTGAACCCAGGAGACTGAGGTTGCCATGAGCTGAGATCACGCCACTGCACTCCAGCCTGGGCAACAGTGAGACTCCGTTTCAAAAAAAAAAAAAAAAAAGGAAAAAAGTCTACTGGGATTTTGAGGAGAATTGACATCTTATTGTTGAGTCTTCAGATCTGTGAACATGATGTATTGACTATTTAGATCTTAATTTCAGCAGTATTTTGTAGTTTTAGTGGACTTTACATAAAATATACTATATATATTATTCTGTGCTTGCTTTTTTTACTTAGTGTTCTTTCTGAAATTCATTCATCTTGATGCATGTAGCAATAATTAATTCATTTTCACTGCTATATACCATTCCATTATATGAACATGTTGTAATTTATCTGTTCTTTTGTTGATGAATATTTGTGCTAGTTTTTTTTTTCTTCTATTTCAAATAATGCATCTGTGGATATTCTTGTACATATGTGTCCATGGGTTACGGTTTTCTAGGGTATATATGTGCCTAGGTATAGGCTAGTTGGGGTAGGATGTACCGTCTCAGGCTTTACTAGACATTGCCAGGTTGTTTTCTGATTTATAGTACTCCCAGTGTTTTATAAGAGTTTGTGTTACTCCCCATTCTCACCAGTTAGGGCTGTTAGACTTCTTAATTTTTGCTAATTTGGTGGGTGTGAAATAGTAACTTACTGAAGTTTTTAATATGTATTTTCTGTGTCCTAGAGGTTATCATTTCATATGTTGAGTTTTTCCTTATATGACGTATTTATTTATCTCTTTTGCCCATTTCCCGTTTATATTCTCCTTTTCTTAATACTTTTTAGGAGTCTTAAAAATATATTTTGGATACTGGTTATGTCTTTTTAAAGTTACGTGTGTTGTGGCTGGGCGCTGTGGCTCACACCTGTAATCCCAGCACTTTCGGAGGCCAAGGCTGGTGAGATCACCTGAGCTCAGGAGTTCAAGACCAGCCTGGCCAACATGATGAAACCCCATCTCTACTAAGAATATAAAAATGAGCCGGGCATGGTGGTGCACGCCGTCCCAGCTATTTGGGAGGCTGAGGCATGAGAATCGCTTGAACCTGGGAGACGGAGGTTATGGTGAGCTGAAATTGTGCCACTGTACTCCATCCTGGGCGACAGAGTGAAACTCTGTCTCAAAAAATAAATAAAATAAAATAAAAATAAAAATAAAATAAAATAATAAAATAAAATAAAATGTTACAAATATCTCTTCCCAGTTCATGGTTGGTCTTCTTATGTTCTTTTGATGTTTCTTGATGAACAGAAGTTGTGAAGCACCTCTGGTATACTGAAGAGTTTGCCCAATTTAAAAAGCATAGTTGACCCAGCTTGCAATTAATACCTCTAAGCTCCACGTCCCATAGAAGCCTTGGTTACAGGTCTATTTTATGACTTTCCTTTATAAATATTCATAAATGACTCATTTATCTTTTCTAGTCACAGTTTTGGGGTGTGGGGGTGGAGGGAAGCAGCACCGTTTTTTTAAGGATTCAATAACAAGTTTCACAAGCATATTTTAAAACTTTTTCTTAAATTAATTTTTAGGCTGGACCAGAATATGGCCAAGGGATGAACCCTATTAGCCGCCTGGCGCAAATTCAACAGGCCAAAAAGGAAAAGGAGCCAGATTATGTTTTGCTTTCAGAAAGAGGAATGCCTCGACGTCGAGAATTTGTGATGCAGGTATTTCTAAGCTTTTAAAACTACTGAAAAGATTTAGAAATCCCCAAGATGGAATAGACATATGGGTGAAAGGCAAACTAGGACTTAATAGCAGAAAGTAAAACTGTTTCCAGTTAAAGCATTCATTCTATCCAGGCCCACCTACCAACTTGGTGGAAACATTCAAGTGTCAAGGACATGTTACAATAGACAACCTAAGTTTTCAAGGGACTCTGAGTTCATACAGGTTATTTACCATGGAGTTTATCATTTAATGTGTATCTCTTAACTTTTTGTATTACATTTTGTAGCCGGAGTCTATTAACTACTGGGAATTGGAGACACATGGAATTAGAAACAAAATTTAGAAGGATAGATGTAGTAGATGGATCAGGGCCAAAATCCTGAGCTTGTGGGCTGTCAGGAAAGTTAGAAAAAGAGAGTAAGCAGGCTAGCTAACCATGGTGGGGGCTGAGGCACTCAGAATTGCTGAGATCTGACTGCTGCATTGTGTAGCCAAGAAAATTGAGGAATGGCTTCTAGTGTATTGGCAGATGGGCTAGAAATGAGGTAGAATGCCTAAAATGCTCTCCTTTTCAACCCCTACCTATTCGTCTTCATTTGCCAGCTCAAACTCCAGTCTTAAGAAATTTTTCTTTTACTTTTTTATTACAATTTCAAACATATCCAAAAGTAGGGAGAGAATAGTAATGGACCATTAAAATGCCCATCACTCAAACACCACAGTTACTAAGATTTTTGCCTCACTTGATTTAGCTATTAATTTTTCTCTTTTTCCTGTTTCTTCCTTTCTCTCTTCTTTTCCTGAAGTATTTCAAAGATAATTTCTAACTACGTGTCATTTCAGCCTTGCAGATTCAGTGTATATTTCTAAGAAATATGAAAGCTTTTCTTACATTAGACATGATTCATTAGAATCATCTAATACCCAGTCTATATTTAAATTATTATTTTCCCCAAGCTGTTTTTAATTTTTTGTTTTATTTTTTGGTGGGGCAACAGGGTCTTGTTCTGTCAGCCAGGCTGGAGTACAGTGGCATGATCATGTCTCACTGCAGCCTTGATTTCCTGGGCTCAAGAGATCTTCCCTTTTCAGCCTCCTGAGTAGGTCAGGATTACAGGCATACACCACCATGACCAGCTAATTAAATGTTGTTGTTGTTTTATTGTTGCTGTTTATAGAGACAGGGTTTTACTATGTAGCCCAGGCTAGTGTTGAACTTCTGGCTTCAAGTGATCCTCCTGCTTCAGCCTCTCAAAGTGTTAGGATTACAGGCATGAGCCACTGTGCTTAGTCCCAAACTGTTTTTTAAATAATTGGTGAATGAGAGACTTTTTAGTCAAATCCAAGGATCTCACATTTTATGTAACTTAGATAAAATAAAAAATATTAAGTGCTGACCATGTGGTAGACATTTTGGCACTCAAATACAGTATCTCATACTGACTAACTTTCAGTGTATAGCTAAGTTGTGCCTTCCCTCCCAATTTATAATCTCCATATTTCTTTATCTTTCAGTACCCAATACAGTGGTTCGTAAATAGTAGGACCTTAATAAACATTTGATAGATATTTGCTGCCTGCCTTCCTGCCTGTATGGCTTTTGTTGGAGATGTAAACTTACAATGTAGTCATAGATAAGTCACTCCTGGGAACCCAGATATCCAAAAAGAGGGGAATTCTCTGGTTAGTAATCACATTATTGTCAAGATGTTATTAGGATCCAGCACATGACTGTTTTGTTATTTTCACTGGTAAAATATGTTCACTATTTTTTTCCTTAACGTTCTTAGCTTTGAAGAATTCTGGAACATAGACTTTGAATGCCAAAGCTTGAAGAAAAAAGTCTCTTGAATTTTAGACATGTATTGGGAATATAAACTGCCTTTGGCTTTATTAAACAAATCCTTTTCTACAGAGTGTATTGAGTACCCCTTTTGAAAGAGGAATTTAGCATATCTTAGGCCAGCTTCCATTTTATGGGTATTCATAAACATTCTAGTCAAATGGGGACATTTGGCTGTGCTTTTAAATGTTTTCGCACTGAATTCATATTGTTTTTTCCCCTTCTGGAAGCCCCAGTGGATTCATTACAGTATTGCAGCAATTTTATCAAAGTAATGGCTTTTGTATAAACTACTTAGGCAGTGTTATCATTTGTTATAATTGAATATGGAAGCAAAATACCTAGAGATGAGATGCTCATTTTTATCTATTACCAAAGAAAAACTGTATATTTTAGAATGGATGCAGTTACTTATGTTGATTACTAAAGAAACCCTCTGATGACATTATTTGGGTATTTTATTCCAAAGCAGATTTCTTAAAGCTTTTCATTTTTTTGGTAAGGAGTATTTTAATCTTTCAAACAGAAAATAATGATAACCAAGTTGCATATCAGCACACTGTGTTATTATGTGATACTAACTTTTCAGCCTGTGATTAAGATCACCAGGTTGTTAAAAAATAAATAAAAATTAAGTTTTTGGTAAATTCTATTTCAGAACTTTTCAGTTTCTTACGTTTTTGAGGATTTGATTCATGTGAATGAACTGTTAAATTTAAAGACAAAGATTTGGCAGTCTTAAATTTACTGCATGGTAAAATAATTGAGCTTCTTTACAGATAGAAATTCACATTTAAATGTAGAGACCATATTTACAATAGTTATAAAATTTGTGACCTCTCAAGGAAGATGACTTGTGAAATTTATATATTTACTTAACTTTTATAATAAAGTGATGTTTTGAGTGACCATTGTGTTTATTAGCAGAGAATGAAAGTCCTTGGGCAATGTGGTCTTTCTATGTTAACAAATTACTCTGGGATAACTGCTTACAAACTATTCAACCATGAGATTATTAAAATTTGCATGAAGCAAGGGCTGGGTGAATGGGTAGATGAATCTGGGAAGCACTTGTTTTAGAATAAGTAAGTGCTGAAGGTATCAGAATAGGCCAGATGGAAATCTAGCAGATAGAGAGACAAGGTGAATACAGGGATGGGAACAGCATTACAGCTGACAAGTCCAAGACCAGGCCTCAGAGCAGTAGAGGAAGCTTCTGACGTAACTGACCAAATCTTTTCACTAAGAAGGATTCCAGCAATAACATAGGGACTGATGAAGCTGGGGGAACAAACCAAGCATTGGAAAAGATAACAGGTAGCAGAGGTAACTCTAGCCAGGGGTTTGAGTAGATTATCCTTAGGGCCTGCCATGTTGAGGCAGACACTGTTACAGCAGGTGGTGTGTATTCATCTAGCTGTAAGTACCTGGTCTGACTATATTAGATTTGTCCTTCTCAGCGTGAAGTCCAAAGACTACTTCTGATTTGTCACGATATGGTGGTTTCCAGTTTCAGAAGAAAAGGCAATGAAATATTTAAAAAATATTTCACAGGTTTAAACTATACAATTTGTGATAGTTGTTACAGAAATTCTGTAAGGAATATATTTTCAGTGTTTCATGTGCTATATGAACTGTCATTTAGTTTGTCTTTACTGAAACTCTGTTAAAAGAGAGTACAGCTCCTTTTTTATATCATTTGCACATTGTTTATGTTTAAGTTTGTATTTCGTTACCATTTTGTTGTATATTCTCCCAGTTCCTTAAAATTGGGTGGTTCACTTAAACTTAAAAGTAGTGTTGGAAATAATAACACAAAAACTGTAAATAAGGAGGTAAGAATAAATGATGAACAGTACTCAAGTGTGGATACCAAATGGGAATTTGTATGTTCTGGGACAGATGAAACAGCCAGTATTATGATCTTACACAAGAGACAAAAAAGAAAAGTATGGTTAGGAGTATCACGCTATATAGCTGAAAACTGAATTTTGTTGTCATTGTGAAATATATTAAAGTGGCATGAAGCTATTATTGAAACTTTCTAATTTTTTTTAAACAAAATGATAACTGATAAAACAATTCAACTTTTCAGATATGGATTGCCCATTCACTTTTCTTGCTCATTTTTCTGCTAGTTTTTTAAAAACACTGATATATGGGAACCTCCTATATATTCTGGATGTGAGCCCTTTGTAGTTATATGGCATTTTAAATACCTTCCCTTGTGTTGTGACTTTCCTTTCTAAATAGTGCTTTTAGAAGAACAAGAGTTATTTTTAATGCAGTCAAATTTAAATTTTTCCTTATATTAACTTTATAGTAAGTCTAGATATCCAGACAAATAAGTGTCCCTCACCTTGTTCTTCCTCAAAAGGATTTTGGCTGTTCTTAGCACTTCACATTTCCATGTAAATTTTGGAATCATCTTGTTCAAGTATTATAAAAAGATGTATGGAATTTTTATTGAGTTTTCATTGAGTTCAATTAATTGAGTTTAGGTCAATTTGAAGAGAACTGATGATATTACATAAGTATTGTCTTCAATCGGTGAACATGGCATTTTGCTCTATTTATTAGGTGTTTCTTAAAGTTTCTCAATAAGGCTTTGTTTTCTATGTAGAAGATTTGCACATCCTAGGTATTTGATTTTCATTTAATGTAAATGGTATCTTTTTAATATTTTTCATCTACTACTTGAATGTTGATGGAATGTAGAAATGCAGTTCTCTTTTTCATACTGAGCTGGTTACAATCTAATTGATTCTTGTAATTCATCTATGGAGTTTCTTAGCTTCTTTATATGTGAAATCACATCTATAAATAATGAATTCTTATCCCTCCTGATCCTTTTTTTACTTTTTCTTGCCTTATTTCTCTGTCTAAGATTTGTGTAAACTTTTAAACAGTAGTAATAATAGGGAACATCCTCGTCTTGTTTCTAATTTGTTTCTTTCAACATTAAGTACAGTGTTTCCTGAGGTTTGCTGTAGGTGTTTTATAAAATGCCCTTTATCATATTAAAAAAGTTTTCTTTTCCTAGTTTGCTAATAGTTTTCATTATGAATGAATGTCAATTTCTAGTTTGAATTTCAGATGTTAAACCAAACTTGCATTCCTGCAATAAACCTAACTTTGTCATGAATCTTTTTCTTTTTGTATATTGCTTTATTCATTATACTGTTTAAAACTTTTGCATCTATGTTCATGAGTGAAACTGTTTAAATTTTCTTTCTTGTACTGTTCTTGTTGGGATTTGGAATCAAAATGGTAGCTCATAAAATAATTGGGGACTGATTTCTCATTTTCTGTTTTATGGATGATTTGGATGAAAAGAAGAGCGTAATTCTTCCTTAAATATTGAGTAGAACTTTGTGGAGAAGATCTCCAGAGTTTTCTTTTTACAAAGATTTTTTATTATGGTTTTTATTTCATTAGTAGTTTTAGTCGTATTATTCTTTAGGCTGTATTCTGTGACAATTTGGTAATTGTATTGTCTAAGAATTTTCCATTGTATCTAAATATGTTTTTAAAATTTACATAAAATTGTTCTCGTATTCCTTTTTTTTTTTTTTTTTTTTTGGTGAACAGCAGTCTCACTGTGTCGCTCAGGCTGGAGTGCAGTGGCATGATCTTGGCTCACTGCAACTTCTTTCTCCTGGGTCCAGGCAATTCTCCTGCATCAGCCTTCCAAGTAACTGGATTACAGGCACCTGCCATCATGCCCGGCTAATTTTTGTATTTTTAGTATAAGACAGGATTTCACCATGTTGGCCAACCTGGCCTTGAACCTACTGACCTTAAGTAATCCACCTGCCTTGGCCTCCCAAAGTGCCGAGATTACGGGTAGTGAGCTACTCCGCCCGGCCTCAGTAATCCTTATTATTTTGTAATGCTACAGAAGCGATGGTAATCTCCCTTTTTAATTATTTCATTTCTTATTTGTGCCTTCTCCTCTTCTTTTCTTTTTTAAAAATACCCATCTCAGAGAATAACTCATATTTTTTTTCTTGACCAGTCTTACTTTTGATTTATCATTTTATTAGTCTTATTAGGGAACCAACTTTTGGCTTTTCTAACTTTATTGTACTTTGTTTTGTATTTCCTTACCTTTTGCTTTTTATTCTGGTTTCTCTGGGTTTGTTTTGCTGATATGTTTGTGACTTCTTGAGGTGAATGTTTAGCTCGTTACTTTGTTCCTCTCCTGTAAGCTGTTACGGTTATGCATTTTCTTCTAGACCTTCCTTTTGCTGTGTCCTTCAAGTTTTGGTATATTTCCGTGGATTATTTAAAATATTTTCTAGTTTTCACTGGAATTTCTTCTTTTGCCCATTGTAATTTGGAATTACATTGTTTATAAAATTTTTAATTTTTAATTTTAATTTTTTTAGAGATGTGGTCTTGCTCTGTTGCCCAGGGTGCAGTGCAGTGGTATGATCACAGTTCACTGCAGCCCTGAACTCCTGGGCTCAAGCAGTCTTCCCACCTCAGCCTCCCAAGTAGCTGGGACTACAGCCATCTTGCCTAAATAATTAAATTTTTTTTTGTGAAGATGGGGTGTCACTACATTGCCCAGGCTGGTCTCAAACTCTTGGCCTCAAACAATCCTCTTACTGTTGGAATTATAGGTATAAGCCACCACACCTGACCAGAATTACATTGTTTAATTTCCAAAGTTGTGAATAACTATTTAACTACTTCTTCAATCACTTACTGAGACCATTGTGTAAAAAGAAATTCAACTATAGTTGTGTATTTTCTATTTCTTCTTGTAATTCTATTCTTTTTGGCTATCTACTTTACTTTTTATAGTTGTATGGTTGTAAATACATGTATAAATTGCTCACAGAAGATAACTGTAGAATAGTTCTAATGATAAAAATCTTTTTTTATTGAGCAATTATGATGGATTAAACGCTGTGGTTTACACACATTATCTTGTTTACTTTTCAAAGCAACACTGTGCCGAAGTTGGTATTACCTGTGCTTTACTGATGAAAAACCTGAGGCTTAGAGATATTAAATAATTTGTCCCAGTTCATACAGCTAGGAAATAATAGAGTTGAGTTTCATATCCCAATCTGACTTGGAAGCCTTTGCTTTTTTGTTTTGTTTTGTTTTGTTTTGTTTTGTTTTTTAAAGACGGAGTATCACTCTGTGGCCCCAGGCTGGAATGCAGTGGTACAATTGTGGCTCACTGCACCTCCACTTACCAGGTTCAAGCGATTCTCCTGCCTCAGCCTCCCGAGTAGCTGGGACTACAGGTGCGTGCCATCACACCTGGCTAATTTTTGTAAGTTTAGTAGAGACGCGGTTTCACCATATTGGCCAGGCTGATCTCGAACTCCTGACCTTGTGATCCGCCTGCCTTGGCCTCCCAAAGGGGAATTACAGGTGTGAGCCACTGTGCCCAGCCAGAAGCCTTTGTTTTTAATCATAATGTTGTAGCAACACTTGTGTATTAATTCTCTTCAGGAACTATTTAATGTAAATCTTTGTAAACTTGAATGTTTACATAAATGTTGCAATTTGAACATTATTTTAAATGGCACCAATATGAATTTCAGCCTTTTCAGTTTATCAGTTGAAATATAAGAATGCTAAAATGTAGTCATAACCAACACGAATGCTGTTAAAATGTAAATTTTATTTTTCTGCTTATATAAATAATATAAATTTAGTGTTTTAAAAAACAAATAGCATATAAATGTATATGGAAGTAAAAATTCTATAAAATTCTACCATCATGAGATAATCCTCCATTGATATTTTAAGGACCATTTTTTCATATTTTTTTCATATACATATAAGATTACATAAATGTTATGTTGCTGTTTTTATTTTGGACTGAACTTTATATTTTCAAATGCTAGACAGTAGAATTGCTTTGTGATGTAAGGACTTCCTGTTTACCAAAACAATTATCATTAATTTATTTCTTTAATCTTATCAGGTGAAGGTAGGCAATGAAGTTGCTACAGGAACAGGACCTAATAAAAAGATAGCCAAAAAAAATGCTGCAGAAGCAATGCTATTACAGCTTGGTTATAAAGCATCCACTAATCTTCAGGATCAACTTGAGAAGGTAAGAGTTAAGTTTACATCTGTGTATCCTATCTGTCATCATATCAAAGTCATTAATAAATTTTGATCTTAACTGGTATTAAAGTAGATGTCAATTTTAACTTTTCTGAGGCAATACAAAGATAGATGATCCAAGCACAAAATAACATATACTTACGGAGTAAGATGAGATATTAATGAGTATTTGTAATCTTACGATTAGAAAATGCAAAAAGTTTGTCGTATGGTTGTACATATTTTATGTAATACCAATGTAACATTTTTAACTTGTTGACTGGTTGTTTTTGCCGTATAGATACAGTCTTAATTTGTGTCTTTTGAGAACACAGGTTGTTAGCCTTTATTTTTGGAATACAGCTGAAAACACTGGAAATAAAAATTCTGACTTACCCCTTTAGGGCAGGAACTATATTGGACAGACACTCTATAAACTAATTTTTCTATTTACTTTAAATTTAAAGGTGAACTCATAGGGTGTTTATTTTCTGCCAAGACCTGTGTTCATGGTCCCCTGTTTTTTCTGCAGCAGTTAATGACATCATTAACACCTACATCTGTTACAAGGGAAGCAGAGAACCCTGAATTCAGAACTTGGCATATAACTTGGCAGAAATTGGCTTATTTCCATTTTGTATTAAGTATCATTTTGTTATCTGTGAATTTGTAGACGTTATTTCTATCAAACATTTTATTTATGTGAACATTCAAAAAACAGGCTTACTAATTACTTTTATCAAAAGTAATATGCTTTAGACCAGCATCTTCTCACACAAGAATTCTGTTTCAAAGATATTTTTAGTTTCTACAGAAACACATTTTAAAAGTTTAGAGTTAGAAACAAAAATATATAAAGACACTTTGATGTACTTTTTTGTTTTCTAGGCAATTCTTTTGAATGATTTAAAAAAATCTTTGTGTGGTATTGCTAGAGATTTCAATTCTGTTTTTATAACCTGGCTAGTCAACACTTTTTCTTCTTTTAAAAGTATTTGTAACATGAAACCTAACATGTGTTCCAGTTTCTGTAGTCCTTATATTGTATATTTGTTGTTTTAACTTAACACATTTATATTGACTTAAAACTGGTGAGTGATCTATAAAAATATGTCAAAATAAATCTCCTCACAGACATGTATTTGTAAATTAAATGAAAGTAGAACAAAAAACCAGCATTAATTAATTAATTTCATTAATTTGAAAAACATTTTTTGTATAACCATTGTGTAATTCAGGGTTCTCCAAAGAAACAGAACCATCAGCGTGTGTGTGTATGTATGTGTGTGTCTGTGTATATATATTAAGGAATTGGCCCATGTGATTGTGGAGGCTTTGCTAGTGTAAAATCTGATGGGACAGGCTGACAGGATGGAGAATCAGGAAAGAGTTGAAATTTCAGTCCAAAAACAGTCTACTGGAGAATTCCTACTTGCCCTGGGAGGTCAGCTTTTTGTTCTGTTCAGGCCTTCAGCTGATTAGATGAGGACTACCCACATTGTGGAGCATGATCTGCTTTACTCAGAGTTCACCACTTTAAATGTAAATCTTACCCAAAAACACTCTTGCAGAAACACCCAGAATAATGTTTGACCAAGTATCTGGGCACTGTGGCCCAGACAAGTTGACATACAAAATTAATCATCGCACTCACTAAATGCTAGACACTTAAAAATGACTGATTTTAATAAGATGACTGAAACTTGGTCTCTGCACTCAAGGAGGTGATCTTTCTTTAAGTGCAGGGAGTGAGGAATTTTAACCATATAACAAAACTATAGTATCCCAGAACCTAGAGAGCATGAGGATGAACCTGGAAAGTCAGGAAAAGAAGCTGAGGTCACTGTTATTATGCAAAGTAGAAAGTTTGAAGAAATGCTCATTTAAGATTTGAACATGAATGTGAATTGATCTGGTTTGCATTCTTCAAAAGATACTTCTGTTAAGTAATGTGGAGCATGGATTTGAGCAGAGTGAAACCAGACAGGAATGCCAGTCAGGAGGCAGCCAGAGTTGTTTAGGTAAGAGATACTGAGGGTCTGAACTGAGACAGTGAAGGTAGAGAGGAGGAAGGGAAAGACTCCAGAGATATTTCAGAAATGTAATGGGTAAGATTTGAATAGCAGATAAGATGCATTCAAGATACAGGAAAAAAGAGGAGGAAAGACTACCTGCAAAAAGGAACAGAGAATGACTACTACGTCAGATGCTGCAGAGAGATCAAATAAGAGAAGGACTGAATATATTGATTTATCAATAAGATGACTTTTGATGAGTGTGGCAAAAGCAGTTTTTAAAACCAGCTAAAACAGGATTTTTTTGTTTGTTTTTTTGAGACAGAATCTAGCTCTGTCGTCCAGGCTGGAGTGCAGTGGTGCGATCTTGGCTCACTGCAACCTCCACCTCCCAGGTTCAAGCGATTCTCTCTCCTCCGCCTCCCGAGTAGCTGGTATGATAGGTGTGTACCACCATACCTGGCTGATTTTTTGTATTTTTAGTAAAGAAGCGGTTTCACCATGTTGGCCGGGCTGGTCTTGCTCTCCTGACCTCAAATGATCTGCTTGCCTTGGCTTGCCAAGGTGCTGGGATTACAGGCGTGAGCCACTGCACCTGGTTGGTATTTCTTAATTATTTGGTAGAAGTTACCAGTGAAGGCTTTTGGGTTTAGAGTTTTCTCTGTGGAAAGGTTTTTTAACTACAAACTCAGATTTTAAAAATAAATAGGGTTACTTAGGTTACCTACTTCTGCTTGATTGAACTTTTGTAGTTTTTGTCTTTCAAAGAATTAGTTTATTTCTTCTAAGTTGTTGAATTTACTAGTATAAAATTGTTTATAACGTTCCCTTTTTCTTTTAATCGTGGAAGAATCTGTAACATTCCCTTACTCTTTTAGTAGTGGCAGAATCTGTAATGATATTCACTTTCATTTCTGATATTATTTCTTTTCTCTTTTTCTTCTGTTCAGTTTAGCTAGGGGTTTTATAAAATTTTAAATCTTTTCAAACAATTAGGTTTTAGTTGCATTGATTTTTCTCTGTTTTTCTATTTTCAGTTTTTTTGATTTCTGCTCTTTATTTTATCCTTCACTGGTTTTTGTTTTTATTTTTTTGTTCATTTCTAATTTTGTAAGGTAGAAGTTTAGGCTATATATCTGAGAACTTTCCTTTTTCTAATATAGGCATTTAATGCTGTGAATTTTTCTTTAAGCACTGATGTAGCTCTGTCCTACACATTTTGACAAGTTAGGTTTTTCTTCTCTTTTTGTTTTTTTAACATCTGGGATACACACTCTATGGGTTTTTACTTTCATTCAACTCAAAATATGTTCTGATTTCCCTCTTGATTTCTTCTTTCAGGCCCTGTATCTGTTATGATTACTTGTTTTGTTCAGTGTTAAAGTCTCCAAGTATAAGTTTGGATTTTCCTACTTCTGCTTCTTTCAGTTTTATTAGTTTTTGTTTTATGCATTTTGAAACTTTGTTGTTATATACATGTACAATTAGTGTTGCTGTGTCTTTTTGATGACCACTTTTATTGGATATTTCCTTTTATTCCTTGTTCTGAAATCTGTTTTGTTTGATATTAATATAGCTACTCCAGTTTTATTTTGACTGGTGTTTGCATGGGATCTTTTTTTCCTGTGTTTTACTTTTAGCCTATCTTTACATTGATTTCTTTTAGAAAGCATATAATTGGGTCTTATTCTTTAAAATTTAATTTGACAAACTTTGCCCTTTAGTTATGGTGATTAGACCTTTTGTACTTACTGAAGTCATTGAGTTGTTATATTTAAACACACCATTTTATTAGTTGCCTTTATTTTTCCCTACTTACTCTGTTTACTTTTTTTCTTCTTTGACCTCTGTTGTGGTCACATATGTTACCTCTCTAAGTTTCTCTGACCTCCTATTGTGGCTATACATGTTAGTTTTCTATATTTTTTAAACCCTACAACTCATTGTTACTAATTTTGCTTTATAAATAGTCAGTTATCTTCTTAAGTGATTAAAATCGACAGAAAATGCCTTTTATATTTACTCTCATTTTGATTATTCTCAATATCCTTCATTTATTTGTGTAAATTCAGATTTCTTTCTGGTATTATACCCCTTCCTTGCTTGAAGGCTTCCTTTAATATTACTTATTTTAGCAGATCTGTAGGCAGTGCATTCTCTCAGCTTTTGTTTGTGAAAAAAGTCTTTATTTCACTTTCTTTTTTTTCTTTATAGGTTTTATTATACACAGAGTGGGGTGGGGGCTCAGACTTTCTTGGCAGCTGCTTTCCTCATGGCAGTCAGGATACTACCTCAGCTCCTCTTGCTTCCTGTTGGTGCATATGTGTGTTTTCATCCTTTTCTTAATGAACTTGAGGGCCCGCTTGTCCTTGGAGACTTTGAGCAGCTTCATGACATGCCACTTCTACAGAGGAAGCCACACACCTCCCAGATGATGTCTTATACAAACTTCGTGTGCTTGGTGAGGTGTGCAGGGTGGCAGCCCTGCCTCAGCTTGCTTATATTCTTGTTCACCATGGGCCCTGGTTGAGGCCCATGGCCATGTGGTAATGCAGAACTATGGCTGCTGCTCTTCAGTGACTGCTGTAGCAGAAAATTTCACTTTTTTTTTCGTTTTTAAGCCTCCAATGAATCATCTTCATTTTTGAAAGTTGTTTTTTTCTGGATATAGGATTCTGGGTTTCCTGTTTCTTCTAGTACTTTCAAGATCTTGCTCCACTGTCTCTTGATAGGCATAATTTTCAATGTAAAGTCTATTGTAATTCTTACTTGTTCTTGCTGATGTATTTTTTTTCCTTTCTCAGCCTTCAATATATTTCTTTTCTTTATTTTCCAGCAATTTGGCTGTGATGTATCTAAGTTTATCTTCTCTGCCCCTGTACTCTTTCCCCACCCTTCTTCCTCCCTTCTTTCTATTTTTCTTCCTTCTCCTTCTCCTCCACCTTTTCTTCTTTTCCTTCTTATCCTCTTCCTTCCTTCTTCTCATTTTTTC